CCGCCCTGTGGCGATCTCACGCTGAACTCGCGGTCCGGTACATGGGTTTTTCTGAAGATTGGAGCCATTTTTATAAAACGCCGGTCTTCGCATTAGCTTAGTTGTGCTTTATTTTTTTGTTGTAGTCACGTACATATAACAAAACTTGCCGTCTTGACACTTCTAAGTGCACAGTTCAGTGGTGGTGAGTACATTCGTGCTGTGCGGCCGCTGTCTGTCTGCAGAACTTTTTCATCCTTCCAAACTGAAACTCCATCCCACTGCACACGAGCGGACTCTTTCCATGATGTTTTTCTTTTGAGACACGGTCTCTGTTGCACAGGCTGGAGTGCGGTGGCCTCATCTCAGCTCACTGCAGCCTCGATCGCCTGGGTTCAGGGGATCCCCATGCCTCAGCCTCCCGAGCAGCTGGGACTGCAGGCACCACCACGCCCGGCTAATTTTTAACATTTTTTGTGGAGTCAGGGTCTCGCTGTGTTGCCCAGGCTGGTCTCCAACTCCTGGCCTTGAGCGATCCTCCCGCCTCAGCCCCCCAGAGTGCTGGGATTACAGGCGTGAGCCACCGCCCAGCCCCGATTCTGTTTCTCTGCAGTGGTCCCTGTGCTAGCTGTGTTCCACCTTCTCGTCCAGGTGCTGGTCACTCAGGTGTGCTCAGCACCCATTCCCTGCACTGCACTAGGACAGTTGGAGCGCTTGTCTGCCAGTGATTCCATCTCAACGTACAAACCCAGGAAGCCCTCTCTCTCCCACGTGTCTGTCTATAATGGCTTTGATAAAAATTGCAGTAAAATATGTGTGACATAAAACTTGCCCTTTATTTTACCATTTCGTCCATACAACCTGAGCTGGCATTTAAAATCACATATTCACAACTGTTGCGCCGACTCACCATCTGTTTCCAAAATTTTTGCTGTCCGTCCAAAACAGAAACCGCCAAGCGGCGTTAAACCAGCCGCTCTCCATTCCCGCGCCTGAGCCCGGTAACTCTGATCTGGCCGTAACCACCTCTGGAAGCCGGAAATGGTGTTGTTATTTGTCATTTTGTGTCTGCGCTTCTTGCACTTAGTTGAGTGTTTTGCTATTCATCTCACATGGGGGGTTGTCAGAATTGCCCCCCCCTTGTTTTTTGAGACCAGTAGTCCGTCGCTTCTTGGTTGCCCCAGTCTAGAAGTGAGTGCGCGGGGCGTCAGCCGCTAGCTCACAAGCAACCTCCCAATCTCGCTGGGCTTCTAAGTGATCCTCTCTGCCTCAGCCTTTCCTGGTAGCTGGGACTAGACAGGCATGTGCCACCATGCCCGGCCTAAATTTTCTCCCTATAATTCGTTGGCCAATTAATCTTCTTTTCTATTTAATAGTAGAGACGGGTCTCGCCACCTGCTCAGGCTGGTCTTGGACTCCTGAGCCTCGAGCAATCTGCCGCCGCCTCGGCCTTCCCAGAATGCTAGGATTACAGGCGTAAGCACGCGCGTCAGCCCTTTTCCTCCCTTGTTAAGGCTAAGAATACTACAATCCATTGTGAGGCCAGCGGCGTGGCTCATGTCGGTAAGAGTGCGCCAGCGCTCTGGAAGGTCTTGAGGTTGGGAAGGATTGGGCCTTGAGGCCAGGGTTGGAGGCTGCAGGGAGCTGGGATCGCAAGGCCGCCCGGAACTCAACCAAGCCTGGGCAGCCAGGGGCCGAGATACGTTCTGCCAAACAAGCAAACAGATAGATGCCACTGTATGGGCTGACCTACTTTTTCGTTTTATTCCTTCTCGTGCTGGACACTTGGGTGGTCTCCACCTTTTCGCTGCTCCGTTCGAATTGATAGTGCAGGTGAGCCGCGGGATTCTTGGAAAACGCGCTCAGGAGTGCGGAACGCTCGCGGGCCTGCGATGCCGGGCTCCCTGGTTTTTGCCCTCCACCGGCTTCTAAGCCTAGGCTCCTGGGACCTGGGATCGCGATGGGTGCCAGTCCCTGCTCCCGCCGGGTGGGCCTCAGGACCGGTCCTGGCTGGGCTTTTCCCTTTCCCTGACCTCCCGGGACGGGTAGACCTTTGACCGGCACGGTGGCCGGGCGACCCGGCTCCGGTGCTGCACGGGCGCGGTGTGAAGGTCTTTGTCCGGTGGGTCTGGGGGCTTGTGAACAACGGCCCTGGCCCTTGCCCCGCCTTGCTCCGGGGCTGGGCTCAGGTGGTCTGGTCCCTCGGTG